CATTATGATTTTGACTATGTGAGATAACAGATGTGGTTTGGCATACTGGCATTGATATTGGGTGATTATCGGAGGTGAAATGAAAACTTGGATGGTCGTTAGTTTCTCATAGTCGATTGGAAAATTGCTTGGTGACCGAAGTGAATTAAAAATCTGGTCAGCAGTCGAACCTGGTACCTCAGTTAGTAGAGGATTGGAACGGAATCGTGGTGGTCACTGGTTCGCATTCAGCCGCGTTCCATACCATCTATCACTTTCTAACTGATACTCATTTGTTATGGGACAAAAGTGAACTGACATTCAGGATGTGAAATTGTATGCAAAAAAAACCCAGAGAATTAAGCAAAACAAGCTGGGAATATCATATTTTAAAGTTATTTGAAACAGGATACAAGAGTGAAATGAAAGCAAAGATATCGAATGGCTTTTTCAGTGCATGACCAATCCGACTCCACTTTCTATAGCATATTCGCTGGTCGATGGTCGAATATACTTCGTTTCATTATGAAGTTAGTGCTGAGGATGTCACCATGCAAGACAATGAAACGACTAGGACAAAACAACAAAGCTCAGAAAACACCAAATCACCAGTGTCCTCATCCTGAACTATCATTTCAGCATCGCATTTATATTTTGTAACGCATATTTCTATTTGAGTCTTGTTAGCCTTTTATGATATCCCATGTACATGAGTATTCAAGTAATGGATGAATGTGTGATCATCTCTCTTTATCTGTTTCGAATGTCGTGTGCCCCACTATATAAAACGCCAGTTTATCAAAGGTTCTTTATTTTCGCCTCAGTTACTGCATTTATAGCCAGACTTATGAATTCTCAGAGGACTTCAAATCGTGCTATTCAAGCAAAAGATTCGTGCATAAATCTGCGTTGAAATATTCTGCTATTTGACGCAGAGCGTAGTCCTCACTGTCCATATATACATACATCCGCTTGTGTTCGTATACTCCTGATATCCTAGGAAAGAAAGACTGAAACTACTTCGAGTTAGTTACAGAAACTGAAATTATCACTTATCATCGGAAACAAAAGGTTTCAAGATGGATATATGTTTCTGTCGGAATCAATGTTATACATCTATCCTTGGCGAAAATTCCGCCGAATTGACTATTGAGGATGTTGTATTCATTAGATTCATGATTGAATTGTGTCACGTTCCATGTCCCTTTCTTTTGGCATTGCTACTTGTGTCATCTGGTTAGTCACTAAACAGGTCAACCTCTTGAGACTTCCTGTTCCAATGTGTACTTAGAGTTAGTTTTACACTGTGGTGAATAAATGAAAAGAAATTCCCAGTCTGGTCATTTGTTGCTGCACTACGACAAACCTGAAAATCTTTTGGAGTAGATTCTCTAATTACTACTGTTCTAATAAACCACATCCCACTGTCTCGTGAAATATTCAGAAGTAGATCATATAATTTGTAGGCTACTTGCCAACTCTCCATCAGTCAATGGCATATCATCCAAATAATATGATTATGTTCTGAAGGGAGTCATCTTTCTCAGCTCAGTTTATCCTGGCACGGTGAAGTTTGAAATTATTTGAAAAAGGGTTACGGACAATACATGTTTCCCACTATTTCAAGAATGAATACTGGACATGAGTTCCTCCTGTAGGCATGTAACAAACGAACAGGTCGTCAGTCTACCCTCATTTCTATGAGCCAAGTGTAATGAAAAGCAAGCTGAAAAGGATGCTTACCCACTGCAAGAGAGATGTAAACTGAACAAATAAGCCAGTAATCACCTGATGCAAAGCGAAGCAGATTACTTCAAGGGAGTCTTTCAAACACTGAAGTAACCTGCTGGTTGATGAACAAACTGGTATTCCTCCTACAATATTGCCAAATTTATATCAACAGTCCACATCAAAATCAATCATTTCATACCTACATCAACATTGAAATGATAACTGTGACAAATAATGGGATGCAAACATTTTACACTTGTAGACATTCAGATTACATTCGATGTAACACACAATGACACGGTATTGTGTACTGAGTGGTGGTTCAAGCACAACATGTTACTCATAACCACATAAGTATAACTGATATCTTGATGAACTATGCTTGAAGCCTCACTAAACAGATAGCGTCAATCTTCACCCAATCGGCTGAACTGGTCTGTGATGTATAGACGGTGAGTCACAGTGCTCTCATTCTGTGCTTGAATGTGCACTTCCTCTATTATCAAAACTGAACCAGTCCGCTCACCTTTTAATGGTAGTTACTGCATCAGTTGATGCTGAATCTGACCATTATTCCTCACAAATTAAACGTCTCTTAATCCACACCCGACCGTAGGGAGATTTTTCTATAGAAATGAAACACACAACACAACCAACGTGAATGTTTCTCACTGTAATCACTATTGAGGTTCACTAAACAAGGAACAACCAGTTGTCAGACGCTTCCAGGCTTGAAATGGTTCAACGTCTGATTTCAGTCAGTGATGAATACCACCATTGATTCGAAAAATCCAAACTGAACTGTTCCTTAGTTCACCTATTTTGTAAATTACAAACTTATCCGACTCAGTGTACATGCAGGTGTTGAGCTTCAGTTCAGTGAATTTCTTCAGTATTACTTACTAAGACACTGAATGTCAAAACTGTCTGATCCAATATACACCAAAACCATCATCAACATCACCACAATTTGAACAAACACTCACACTGAACAGTAGATCCTGATGAATATGTTTTACCAAGGTTTCAGCACAATGGATTCGAACTTCACTGATGTCTAAAGTGTCTTCCTTTCCATACTGTAGATTTGTCACATACTTTACTGAGAATCTTATGGATTCGTGAGGAGAGCCAGACATCCTGTTTCGAGTTCCACCTGATGGTGAATGACCAGTAAAATTCACTGAATACTGTAGGCTAATCTCAAAAGCTTACCTTGTTCCATTTGATGACCAGTGATTCGGGTTATATGGGCATATTTCACAGATGGCATTTGTTGTCAGAAATCCAAGGTTGCTTGTTGTGTCGCTTCCACTGACTGTGAAAAAACTGATGAACACTCATTTGGAAGAAATATATTACAATACTCATTGAGGCATAGGATGGGATGTCGGTGATCCTACAACGAACTTCCCAAAATATGACCTTCAACTATGAGAAGCGAAGGCATTACATCTATTGTATGATGCGTGTCACATATTCAGACTGAACGACATAGATATGTGAGTGTATTTAGTAGGAGAGGATTTTATGTCTGTCTCACCTCATATATAAATCTTATGTTAACCGACGTTTAAATGCGTTCTGTGTTAATTTGGCACTTGTAAGCAAATGTTCAATGAGTGTTAGTACGCTTTGAAGATAGTCGTTGGCACTTAATCTACTAAAGCTCCCAACGCCGTCACAAACAATAAAAATAATCAGCCATTAAAGATTTCGCCTGACTACCATGTGAATCTGGCCACCGTCAAAATATTCATATGGCCTCCGATAATCACCCAATATCAATGCCAGTATGCCAAACCACATCTGTTATCTCACATAGTCAAAATCATAATGACAGATAGTCAACGAGTTCCAACCTAACAGATCACAGGTTTTGAGTAGTATCGCATCAACTTCCTTTCAGGAATTTACGTCATCAAGTTAAATGGAACCAAGGTTGTGTGATGTGGAATTTACCAACATCACATTGTGCGTTTATCATAATTTTTCACATAAGTGATTTACAAGTCGTGAGCATCTGTCTACAACAGTCAACTTGTGGAAAGCACTGGTCTGCAGAGATGTCACCGGGAAACTCTGTGTCATTTAAAGTGTAAGTGGAACAACTCGATGTTTGGGAGTAAAATTCTTCAAGCTTGATTGTATCCAGTATATTTTATGGATGTGTGGAGTGAGGCAAAGCTTCAGCACTAGTTGTCAGTTGATCAGTGACATTCATTTCTCTTCGTGTGTACTTCGTTGAGTAGTCTGTGTGCAAATCGAAAACCTCTCACCTCTTGTTCCGGCGTCAGATCAGTTCAACCACTTCACATCAACACTTTCCATTCTATCAGTTAATCTAGTCAATTCAGAATTGTTCAGCATTTCTTTCCGATACTATACCAGTCTACATATGTCATGTGGAACAAAACATCCTAATGTTAGTGCTTCGTATTTGTTGCTTTAACTGAGTCGAGCGAGATTCAGGTTGAGATATTATGGTACTCACACCAATTGAGGCATTTTCAAACACTGATCGATAAAACAGATGACCTAATGACACTGCTGTATTCCACCATATATTTGTGTAACATGAATTCTATCTAGCATAAGCAAGCATTGACGAAATTCGAACAGATGAATGACGTGATGATCTCAAAATTAAGTGCTAATCAGTTTCTGCTATTGTGTACTGAATGCATTGTGGAACTGAGATTATCAGTCTCTTGTTCAAGTGAATTTTCGACGATAATTAAATATTTCACCTCTGGATAACTTGGCTACATATGAAACACAATTGTTCATATGTCATGGCAATCGAAAGTTGTTTATAATTAGTCAAATTTGTTTTCACTGGTGAATAATTTCTGCAGCACATCGCATGGTATTCGCTTGTACGTCGTTATTGCTATGTCACTGATGTCAGGTAGTCAAGTCAACCGGGATGACTCATTCACATGCCAATAAGCGAACTATTCGACTGGCAGGTGTGTGGACCAACAAACAGTGTGATACGCTTTCCCACCGTCAATTCGATCCACTGCAATCTACTACCAGCAACAATGGCATACTGACACCACCAACTGATTCATGGAAGTAATTATCCTGCTTTATTGACAGAACAAAATAACACACACTAACACTTTATGAACAATTAGACAAAGCATAAAACAATGCTCAATTCACACAAATTTGATTGCCAATCAATGTTGGCGACTACTATGAGGAGTAACTAGAGAAAGAAGATTGAAATTGAAAGATCCAACACGCTTATTCTAATGTTGTCTTTAAAATCTCTGAATTATTCACACTTTCAGTTTGGAAGTGGAGAACAATATTTGGCATTTCATGTATATTGAGCATTGACTACTGAAAAGTTTCCAGTTCTCCTTCGCCGTCTTACAAAGAAGATGATTGCGATAACTGTGACTACCAAAACACAGGCGAGTGCAATCAATACAATCATCCATGGTTTTAAGCCTGAAGGAGGAGAAAAATTGAAGATAATAATGAACATTGATCAGACAAAGAAATTTATCAATACACATTCAACTCAATGTGTAAACCGACTCTCAGTAAAACTGATCACTACTACACAGCAAGTTGGTTTCATCAGTCAGTTGAATGAGCAGGGGATCTGGAAGACGAAGACTGATGTTTGATATCTCGAATGATGCTGGAGAGATAAATTGCTCAAATATGGTATTCGTGATCGACTGAAATGAAATCGATTGTGGATCATTGTCTACAGAGTGGAATCCACATTGGTATCGGCCCACCCATGGAGAAAAGATAGTGCACCACTTAGACTAGTATTATCCAAAGAGAAACATGACACTCATTTGTCAATAGGCATAAGTGTTGAATAAATAAATATTGCTGAGTTATGAAATAACCTGTTGATATGGCTGGGTCAGTTTCGGTTTGCTCGGTTTGTGTATCAGTCTTCAGTGGTTATTCCGACACCTTCATCTCGGTCGCCGATTTACTTTCTTCTGGTATGATTGATGTAGTGACAGTCACATGGTTAGTTGGTAATTGATCCTAATCTGAGTCGGTGTGTAGAGCAGGGCAGAGCAGAGAAGAGAAGAGTAGAGCAGAGCAGTACAGAGTATAGCAGAGCAGAGATGGAGAATGAAGCAGAAGAAGAAGAAGAAGAAGAAGAAGAAGAAGAACTGGGAACAGTTCAATTCCATCCAGTATTTTCACTTATTTCTTCTCAACTCTCTCACTCACTCACTTTCTTCAGTCACACCTGGTCAATACCTGGTCAATACGTTTTTGTCAGGCGTGCTTTCTACTCCCCTCGCCGGCCTCACATCATCATCTACACCATGTCATAATATCTGTCATTCAGGCATTCCATTTGTCTTCACCCACAGTGTCTACACACTGTCTTCTCCACCTTATCATCGATCAATTGTAATGTGTCTTCACACAACATTCCTCATCGAATAACTTTCACTATAAATCACAGCGAGTCTGCATATTTCTCTCGGTCAATATGCATATGCATAACTGTTGGATGAATAGGCAATACAGACATGGAACTAACCTGTTGATACGGCTGCAGTTGTTTCCATCCCCTCTGTTCTTATGACAGTCTGTGGTGATTTTTTGTACACCTGATTCTTGGTCAAGAATGAAACAATCGTTCCTCCTACCAACATGCCTAATATGTCTGTCACTGAGAACCTGTTCACGGCAACAGGGTTAAGCCGGTTTTTTTGTTTATTTTGAAAATTTTCATTTACTGATATTACTGACATACCTAAAACTTTCTGGTGCAAATACTCGACTTACCCTATCCAACCGAATAGTCTTCGTCGAAATTATGAATGTTCAACTTGTTCAACTATATCCATCTTTGTGCGCCTTCATTTTTATTTTCTGTCTGCTCTCTTTATCGCTTTTTGCAATACTCTAATTTCCGAATATTTGTTAACATTTACCCTGCTGGCTGGTAGCCAATGTCGAAAGACTCATTGCGATGTATTACTGTTCCCAACCATGTGAATGGGAAGTGAAACTGAATTCGGCTTTCATAAGTGACAGAATTGAGAGAATGGCAGCAATTAGAATTTGGCCATGCCGTAAAGAAAGCACAACAGATACAGTCAGCAAGGTATGTCAAGTATCTGTTGTACACAACTCACGAGATTAAGAATGCCGAATTCACACACAGTACTGCATAACATGTCAATTGAGGTATCTGTTGTACACAACCAGTAATATGCTTGTCATTCAATTAGTGTGGATTTGAGAGGATAGTGTTTTAGTGGTAACCATCACGTGTTGAACACACACTGTTATAGGAAGAGGTGAATGCATTTTGAATTGTCTGTTGATATTGAGCCTATCACAAAGTGCTCATCTGAAATCTCTATGTGAATTCTACTAATGCGTTAAGCGTTGATTACGATGCTGGAAACACTTGAAATATGAAGTCAGGCATATTTCGAGATGAGTGGATACTCTGAAGACAAGTTGTGCATAGAGAAGCAGTGTTGATTCTAGTAATGTGGATGGAAATTTTCGATGAGGTGAATTTCAATGATGTCGGCCTACTGGGAAGCGTGATCATCACTACCAGTCTTGAAGTCAGTTGATGTACTGTGCGGAATATAACAAGCGAACCGGGGAAACTTTAGCAAGCAGTAAATCCACTTACCGGCGACTTCATCTGACTTCTTTTGGACAGGTACGTTACTATGAACATACAATTCAAAGTTGCGTTCGATTGGAGTGAACGTCACTACACTTTGTGATTTCACTGAAATCAAGTGAAGTATGCATAGAAGAAATACTGAGATTTTCATGCTGATTGATTTTCGATTTTTTCTAGAAGAGAGGAAACAAGCAGTTTAACAAGATGTTAGTGACTCAACGAATTTTATCAGAATATTTTAATCACCCATATCTAAGCATCCCCAATTTGTGAGTGAGTACTGATGATTCAGATATAATGTAAAATGAGGAATTCGAATAAACTTGGTGGTGATAATAATGTTCCTATGCTAACTGATCGTTTTGCTTCGAAATGATGTAATTAAGCACTGTCAGCTTTGCCCCTGTTTCCGCATAATATCTAGTTGGCTGAACACTTAATTGCAAATATATTTTGCACGTCCTTTCACCATCTCGCCAATCTATTTCAGCATGAATGAAAATTGCGAGCAATTCGTCATCTAATCGCATATTCTGTTAGGATACCAACTGAAAAGATCAAGTAGAGTATGTAGTTATTCCAAAGTTCTCGAGTCGCCATATTCCTAGATCAATGTTTTCGAAAAATGATGAGATGAGCCTGAGAATCAGCATTATCTTTCATTATTTCCTACGTATTTACAGATAATTGGGATCCACTCTCATACAGACCTGTAACCCTCCTGTAAATACGTGGTGAACATATGTGCTTGATATGTATGTTCACTTTGTAGTTATCAGAACATACTGATCGTTATGGACATAAAAAACCCAAACTCATGTGATACACACTTCAGATGTGAATGAAAAATGGATTGGGGATGATTAGCGATGTCGGATTATCAAAGCTGAGATTTAGTCAGTGGCGTTTATATGAAAGCTCACACTTCATCCACGCATTGAATTTCACATCAAACATCACGACAAGCTGACGGAAATGTCTAATTGTTCTATCCATCCAGTCTTACAATTTGTATAGGACCAGAAATATGTATCACAGAAATGCTACTGTCAGCATATACAAACATCCAACTTGCATTTAGAGAATACCACTACTAGTGTGAGATTAGGACAGCATTAAGAATTCACAGTATTTTGTCTTCATGAAGCAGCGATTCGAAAACTAGAATATTGAATCACCAAGAAGATTTTAATCAAAGCGGAGAATATTTGTAGCTCGGATGAATGGACTTGATTGTATTGTGTTCGCTGAGCTGGGTTGTTTAATGGTGAGGCTCTCATTGTCTTTCTAGACGACATCATCAGCAATAACCTCAGTATGAAGTTGCCAACTTATCAGAACAACAACTGACAAAGTGGAAGAACTTCTTCTCCAAAAAGGATTGATTTACAACACAAGAGATGCCTCGAAACCAGAATTATTTGCGGCATCAGAATTGTCACTTGAAACATGAGGTTGAAATGAGGTAACTCAACAAGAAGTACGCAAACATTCGTGCCACTTGAAGCCTCATGTTCCATTAGGAACCCAAGGGAAAAATAATATAATAGTAATTCGTGTCACTGACGAGGCAGAAGAGACATCACGCTCAAATGAACACCCAAGGGCAGAAAACATTAAAAGATTGAAGAATAGGAAAGATATCGTTATACTTCCAGCAGACAAAAGACGCACTTCGGTAGTCATGGTCAAAGAAGGCTACATCAAGAAAGTAGAGAAATCGCTGAATGACGGAAGTGTATATTAACCACTTGAAACCAACCCTATCCAGAAGTTCGACAACTAGATCAATAAAGCCTTGAACTAACTCTCCAAGGCAGAAGAAGTGACAAAGCAAGACAAATGGGGAATGAGCTCGGATGGGCCCATCCCCTCTCGGTTTTACAGCAGACCAGAACTACACAAACCAGACATCCCTAAATGACCAATAATCTCACTTCCGAGAACTCCAACATACAATATATCAAGAGAACTTTCAAGAAAATTGAAACACCTCGCTCAAGTCACCAAAGGAATTCTTGTAGAAGATCAAAAGTATTAACATAGGAAACGATGAATTAATGGTACCCTTCTACGTCACAGCCCCAAATACATCCATCGAACCTCATTTGGCCAAGGAAACTATGTCCCTCCTGCTCACTGAAGATACAAGCCTTTCAGAATGAACAAAACTAAAATGTTCGAGTCTGATGGAACTCATCGACATTTTCCTGACAACATACTTCCAATTCAATGGCGAGATATACAAACAGATGAAATGAACTCCAATGAGATCACCGATATCCGGACTAATTGCAGAAGCAGTGGTGTAGAGACTGGAAGGCATCATCCTACCTGCGATCAAACCAAAAATTTGGATTCGCTGTGTAGACGATACTTTTAATATCATTGAAAAAGATGATATATAAAACGCTCACAGATTAATCAACAACGTTTTCAGTGACATCAAATTCACAATAGAGAAGGAGTCAAACAACCAACCATCATTCTTGGATGTTTTAGTCAGTAGGACAAATGCCGAAAAGCTGGAAACTCAAGTGTACAGGAAGCCAACACACAATGATCAAATCTTCAACTACAGTGGCAACAACCCAACAACGCATAAAATTAGTTACATGCAGACTGTATTCAAAAGAGCGAGAACACACTGCAGTACAACAACGTCATGGAGAAACGAAGAAAATAACTTGATGTCCACCCTAAAGAAGAATGGCTGCCCAAGAAACTTTATCACAAGATGCCTATCCCGTACAACACCAACTACAAAGTCATCGACAGAATTCAATAAACGAATCAACCTATCTTACATGATGAATATATCAGAAATCACGACAAGACTACTGTGACCACTTGGAATTGGTGTGGCTCACAAACCAACAA